ATTATCTAATTAGTAGTTTCATTAAAGAGTTTTGACTCGTCAAGCTCTAGCAAAGGCGAGAGACAGATAGGATGAACTCGACAAACATGCCATGGCTTATACTGGTCGCAAGGAATCATTTATTGTTATGAAAGTCACCGATAGTGTCAATCAAATTCGGATGCTATTACCCTGTCCCACTTTAGTTTGACCATTCAGTTCTTCCTGTCTTTCCTTATTGACGTAGTATCTTCGTTAAAAGTTAACAATTTAGCAAATGTAGGAGACATGAACCGGTTTATATTTTGGGTTGAGTTGAAACTTTCCGTTAAAACGTCCAGACGCTCTATATGTTTCAAAGAGTACAAAGTTGTCCTTGAATCCGTTTTGCCAGACTTAAGCTGAAAAAACAGGTCTCGCTTTCTTCAAAACGCTGAGAGTGAAATTTTGTGAAGTGTAGTGCGTGTAGTTCAACTTTTCTTTCACGTTCGTTTGGAAAGTTTATCTTTATGGGATTTGAATCCCGGAGAATAGATTTAAAAGAAGTTTGGGTATTAAAGAAGCGCCATTCACGCCTGAGTCAAAAGTTAAAGGTAAATAAATAGTTGAGTTACTCACCAGCATCAACTGCTTCTGGCGCTGACCAGGTGAACATTCCGAGTCTCATTTCTTTTTTGCAGGATACCTCATGGCCTAGCAGTGTAGTGGAAGCGAGTCTTTACTAGCATTTGGACATTTCCCAGTTGACTGGTTATAAATTCGCGTCGATTGAAAATTGCAATTCGTGGTTATCTGAAGAAAGCTAAAGTCCCTGTCCTTCTCGCAAGGAATTTGTTTTTAAAGAGCTTTTGACGGTAAGCCATGGCAGCCGGCGGAATATCCTTCCCAATTTCTACTGGTCATTGTGGACCCTCAGTGGCGGGTCCATCTGAAGAAAAGACAAATGGCACAAGGCTGACAAGACTGCTCACTGATGAAGGAACGGAGGCTCTAAGGAAGTTCTTTGATTCTTTTCATCCAGAGTCAACATTACAGCACGCGTTAAACAACAATCGCCGAAAGCTTGAAAAGCTAAAACGGAAGGGAGTAATATTTGATACGCAATGGGAGAATTTGTTTCCTTCCTCAAGTAAACCGCCAAACTCGAAAGAATTCGACATCACGCTTCTACACGTATTGCTCCGTAATATAGTTCATCTAAAAGCGCCATCGAATGGATGGGACAAAATGCCATCAGACTCTGATGAGAGCCCTGAAGCCAGCATCGTTCGTATGAGACTCTGTAGACATGAGCTTAGTCACAGTGTTTCTACTGAAGTTCGGAATGACGAATTCGAAGTCAAGTGGAACATGATATCTTTGTCTTTAGAAGTACTTGAGGTAGCCGCCTATCGGAAGAAACTTCAGTCCCTAAAGAGTGCTACTATCGATCACGATGCTCGGTTGGTGGAAGAAGTCGAACAATGGCGGAGGGAGAAAGAACTAGAGAAGAGTGGAAATGTCTCTGAACTCTGCAGTTGTCTTCCAGATGACAGGCCAGAGAAACATATTATTGGTCGTGGTGAGCAAATACAAGACATCAAAGATAAAGTTCAAAGTGGAATAGTACCTGTAGTTCTGATCACTGGTGGACCGGGACTCGGAAAGACCACCGTAGCCAAGCGAGTGGCCTGTGAATTAGCCAAAGCAGAAGATAAAAGAATTGTGTTGTTCTGTAGACTATTAAGAAAGACAACTTTCAACGAAGCGACTATGGAAATGATCAACTCGTGTCATAAAGAGGTCAACACGCAAGTACCCGAGGATCCGAGGCAGAAGCTTCTAAACTGGTGCAAACAGATTCAAAACCAGGTCACTTTTGTTCTTGACAATGCAGATGGTGTCATCGAGTCTGAAGATCGCGAATCTTTCCTCGATTGCTTATGTGATCTGAGAAAGCATTCTAAAAAACATGTCACATTTGTGATAACTACAAGAACAACATTTCAAAATCCTGACCTACCATCAGAAGAAGTCATGCTACACCCGTTGTCAAATGAACAGGCCAAAGATCTTCTGGTTGCTGAGGCTAAAAATGTTCAAGAGCTTTCTCAAGCAGAGCGTATTGTGGACCTTTGTGGCTGTGTTCCTCTGGCACTATGCATTGTTGGATCCCTGCTTTCAGACTACACCGAAGAAACTCTAATTACAAACCTGGAGAAAGAACCACTCGCCGTACTGGAGGACGATCAAGTGTCCGTAGAAAAGGCCATTGAGACTTCTTTTGATCTTTTGACTGAAGCTAGACAAGAAGCTTTCGTTCTTATGTCAACTTTCAAAGGGTCATTTGACTCAGGTGCTGCCGAAGCTGTAATGAAAGCATGCTCAGTTCCTGGAGTTCGGCACATGTCGACCGTTCGCTCCTTGAAAAAGAGGTCGCTAATCGAGCAACCAAGTTCACGGAGGTACGAGATGCATCCCCTCATTCACTCGTATGCGAGAAAGATTGGTCAAGCTAAGCATGCCGATCTCTTAGCTAGAGGAGAAAAATTGGCCTGTGTTTATTTCATGTCTTGCCTTGCGAAAAACGCCGAATTGTACTGGGAAAGAAACAGCTGCAAAGAGTCTCTTTCTTCATTCAACAAGGACAGAAGCAATTTCGAACATTTTCTTGGCAATTATGCTCGAGGAAGGAGAGAAAAGGATGAAGAAATTATGGAAGGCTCTCAAACTCTCTTGAAAAGTTTTCCACAGAAGTGCATGTATTTGGAAAAGTGTCTTCATCCAAAGAACTATGCTCAGATCCTTGAGCAGTTATTGAACACATTTGACTCAACTAATCAGCCAGTGCACGTTGTAGAACTTTTGTGTCTTCTTGGACACGAATGTAGGAAGAAAGACCAAAAGAAGTACAGCAAACTCATGGAGAAAGCGGAAGAAATTTATCGCTCGAACGTTGTCAAGGTTAGAGAAAATCCGCTATCAGAAGTCTACTTCCATAACAGTTACGCACGTTACCTTTCCGATAAAAAAGATCCTAAAGAAAACAAAAGAATTGATGAAGAGACCCAATTAGCTCTAAAGGTCAGCAGTGAAAGTGAAAGTCTGGGCGATCTACATCCAGAAACAGCAGCAACACTTCTTCTTTCAGGAAACATTGCAAAGCGCCGTAAGCAGCGTGATACAGCCACACGACAGTTAACCAAGGCGTTAGAAATCTCTAAAGAGTGCCTTGGTAAACATTTTATGACAGCCGAAGCCCTGAAGGCCCTTGCAGACCTTCGTTTTTTTCTGGGTGGGGGGACAGACGGAGAAGACAAGTTCACAATCTGCATTGAATATTACAACGAAGCCATAGAAATGTTCAACGATCTCGTCGAGGGTGGAAGCAAAGAGAGTATCCTGACTTTGAAAAACTGTGCAATATGTAACCAGAAAAGAGGCAGCTTTAATGAGGCAATGAATCTATTCAAAAAGGCGGAAGGAGTTGCCGAGATAGAATTAGAGGAGAAACACGAATGGAAAGTTGCAATCAAGACTACATGGGCCATCTTACATGACGAACTGGGAAACACGGATAAGGCGAAAGAAATGATGCTTGAAGGATTGTTGATGGCTAAGGAACTAAACTTGGCGATAGAAAAGATGAGAAACAAAGATCCGATACGATCGTTTATCAATCGTTACCCAAAGGAGTTCCCTGAGACGGAATTTCCACGTAAGTAATGTCTCCAAGTTCGAAGGCGCCCTAGACCTCAAACCTAGTGCAGGCCGACTCGAACCAAAACTGATTTTCCGATGCACTCCGTCATATATTTACTATTATTTTATTCTCGATATCTCAAACCTCTGATTGACTAGAACCAGTTTTTGTTTTCCTTGAGGATTTTTTCAAATTAACCTTCCCCTTGATAACTCGAAAAAGGGAAAAAAAAACAGATCTTTATTACTATTGAGCACATTGAACTGATTTGAAGCAACCGAGTCTTTCAACATTATAGTAATTCCCTGTTTTCAACTTTCAGGAGGAGAAAAGAACAAAGGAAAAAGAAGATGAGAGGGAAAAGAAGAAATGCAGCGAGGATTCACAATAACGATTTTACGAAAGGCTAAGGTCATTAGCTAGATTAATTTAAGCACCCGACAGACAAACACATAGCAGACATTATGTTCCCTATCCCAGAGCTCCTAATCTTTTTCAAATATTTTTCTTTTAAGAAAATTTTGCAGAATCAGAATATTTTGGTAAATTACGCTGGTGTACGGCAGCTTAAAAAGAACATCGAAGAAGAGTTGCACAGTTTTAAAGTAATCCGCCTGATTTAAGGTATCGAACCCCATTTTTTTATGACAAACATTTTCATTTCAAAAAAAGGTAATATTTGTTATCTGATCAGTCGGGTATTTTGGAGGTCAGAATTTAGAGCCTCACTAACCATTTGAGGAGCACATATACCTCCTACACCCCAGGCTGGAAGGGTAAATGGAGCAAAACAGTCGCTGACAAGCAGCACTGCTTAAGGAGGGAACTTTTTTGTAGGATTTTGGAATAATTCAGTAAGGATTAGAAGCACATGAAACGAACAGCAAAGTGGATCTGATCAAGTATTGACCATTCAGAGCTCTGATAATTAAAGGAATGTCTCGAACACTTAC